TTTTTTTGCTGGTGATTTTGGGAGATGGGATTTTGGAGATGAAGATTAGGTAGATTTTTCTGCATGAGCTGGCTTTGAACTATGATCCTCTAGATCTCAGTCTCCTGATAACTAGAATTACAAGTCACTGGTGCCTGGCTGGGAACTTTAAAAAATGAAACACAAAAACTCTGAAAATTTCTTTTATATAATGTTTTACAACCTTAACGAAATCCCAGAAGTGCTCATTATTTACAAAGCAAATAGACCTTTACTCATTGCACTGTCAGCAGACTCATTCTAAAAATTGCTTAATTTCAATTACCTTTAAAGGTCCAAAATACATGTGAAAATCTAGATCATATATACCCTCTCACCCCAACCCTCCTTTTCTTTTTCTGGTCCTGGGGCTTGAACTGGGTATCTGGGTGCTATCCCTGATCTCTTTTTGCTTAAGGGAGTGATCTACCACTTTAGTCATAGCTCTACTTTTGGTTTTTTGGTGGTTAATTGGAGATAACAGTTTCACTGACTTTCTTGCCCAGGATGGCTTTGAATCGCAATCCTAAAATCTTAGCCTCCTGAGTAGCTAGGATTACAGGTTCAAGCCAATATCTGGTTTAGATAAAAAATAAGAACAAAAAACCAACTACAAAAATCTAGATCCATTTAAAAAAGTGAAATCTGGGGTTTTTACGAGAGGATCATTGGGGCTGGGAATGTGTCTTGGTGTAGAGTGCTTGCCTAGTATACGTGAAGCCCTGGGTTCCATTCCCCAGTACCACATACACAGAAAAGGCAGGAAATGGTGCTGTGGCTCAAGTGCTAGAGTGCTACCCTTGAGCAAAAGAAGCTTAGAAACAGTACTGGAGGAGGGGGGTTATCCACTGACTTTTGGGAAAGAGGAAGGGAGGGCTGGAGATTAAGCTGTATAAAACTTGTCGGGGCTGGGAAGGTGGCTCAGTGGTAGAGTGCTTGCCTTGCATGCATGAGGCCCTGGGTTCAATTCTTCAGCACCACATAAGCAGAAAAAGCCGGAAGTGGAGCTGTGACTCTAGTGGTAGAGTGCTAGCCTTGAGCTGAAGAGCCACAGGACAGTGCCCAGGCCCAGAGTTCAGGCCTCACGACCAAAAAAAAAAACCAAAACAAAAAAAACTTGTCAACAGAGTTGATGAGCTGCTTACCATAAAGCAGTAAACATAATTAAATGCTTGCCTTAAGTTCTGTGAGCCATTGTGGGAAGCTGGCTAACTTTAGGAGGGCGTGGGAACTCCTGGGAGGAGCAAGCCTTGCCACTGGCGCTGGAACTGAGCGCAGTGCCATGGGCTGAATTCTTAATTTGTGGGAAAGACACTAATTCCAGGTGGATAGTATCAGAATTGGCCTGAATTATAGACCAGCTGGGAAAATTTTTCCAGATCTTGTGTTAGCTGGCTATTCATTATAAGAACTACACTTGTATTTTTCTTCCCTCCCTCCCTTCCTCCAAGACTGGGACTCTAACTTGGTATTTGATGCTTTCACTCATTGGCTAGTGCTCTACCACCTGAGCCTTGCCTCCAACTCCTATATTTGCATTGTATCCTACTAAAGTGCCAAACAATGTTGTGAAAATATAATCATTTCTGCCATAATGTCAGATGTTCAAGGTAACAGTAAGGATGCCCATACCCAAACCCTTTGGAGACAGATAGTCCCTTTTCCCACAAGCCCTTTGGAGACAGACAGTCCCTTTTCCCACACCTTTCTGTTGCCTTGTCTGCCCAGCAGGTTCACCACCCACCTTTCTCCTTGCCTGAGAATCATTTTTTGTGGGTTTAACTTCCTCTGCCTGACCTGCAGGCCACCTATACAAGCTGCTGTCTGCCCTGAGAAGTGATACTTACAGCTAAAGGCCAAGAGTGGTCACCAATGCCTCTAATTTCGGCCTCTCTACTCCCTATACTACTAACCACTGCCAGCCAGGAATCACATTCTTGTTTAAGCACTGCTGGTCTCAAATGAGCTCCCAAGTGGAGCCATTGCCACAGTGACTCTGGGAGGCTTGCAGATGATGGCACACAAGTTGAGTAGCTTGCTTGGGTCACCCTCGTCAGCAAGTAGAGGACCTGTTTGAACTTGGGCAGTTTGGCCCCAAAGTCCCCACACTGGGTCACCATCGTCCTGTCAGTCACCAGGAGTAGCAGTACCACAAGGTCAAAAGTCCCTGGTTGGGATGGGTGAGCTAACTTTTAACATGTTTCTAGCTGTGAGAAACTTCAGCTACAACAAAGTTACCACAGACATGCTCCAGATGACTCCTGGTATTTCATAAGCCTGAGGCTGGGATTGTCCAAAATCTTTTGATGCTCCATGTCCAACAAATCTGCACAGGAATACTACCAGAGTGTGTTCCTATCTTAAACCCACACAGGAGCATAAAACACTCAGAGCTAACAACATGCTTGAAGCCTTGGGTGGGCTGTGCAGCCCATGCTGTCACGCAGTGACAGGACTTAAGGCCTAAATGCAGACAATAAGTACGCAGTAATGTGCAGCTGCACATACGAATCTGGTCATTAACAAGATCAACGCACCACAATAAAGGGAGATTCGGTCAGCAAAATAGCCATCTGCTCAAATGTCAGCACAAAGAATTCCCCAGAGATGACAACTGTACAGTGTAGTATCCTAGTGAATGATTTTAATTCATTGTAAAAGGTACTAGATAATATTTTTCCCTATAAGACAAAGGAAAAATGCACACTAAAGATACGTATGTATGTTACGTTTTGTAGAAATGGTATCAGATTCAAGGGCAATAACAGAAGCAGCAAGAAAATATATTTGCTGCAGGCCAGTCACTTAAGTGCATTTCGTATTTCTGCAAGATTTCCCACGAAGTGCAAAGCATGGGCAGCAGTTCACTCTACAAGCTATCCGTGAGAAACTGCCTAGCCTCAGCCACACTCACCGACTCTGCTGAGACAAGACAGCCCTGACTCTGCCGGCCAGGGTTTGATCACTAGACTTTTCATTTAGAATTTTATACTTCATTGATGAAACCCCACCTGAATGCTAGAGTCCACTACAGGGTACTACCCACACATACTGACTGGTTATTGGCATCTTCATGGCACTAGAGTGACCATTGACAAACCTGTGCACACCTGATCACAAATGTTGATGGCCAAACAAGGGATTCATGGATTCAAAGTCAAAATTAAAAAATCAGAGTCACAGTTTTTAGGATGCTTTTTTTTTTTTCCTGTTGTATATCAGTGTTGGGGATTAACCTCAGAGTCTCCTAGATGCTAAGCACGAACTCTTCACTTAAACTTTTAAAATGATATGTCGACTCACCATACCTTGCAATGACACAGTCTCACTAGGATGGAGAACAGTTGCTGGCTTTTTTGAGAAGTCTGCTGTGGCACTTTCAGTCTGGTTTCAAGGTGACATAACTAACACAAATGCATGCAGCTCAGCTGCTGATGCTAGCTCAGAAATCAGGGCTGTGTTACATTGGGGCATTTCCAGTTTCCAAAGAGCATTAACCTTTAGTGACATATTCCTAAACTGAACATGGTGTGTTAAAATAGGACAAAAAAAAAAAATCTGTGCTACTAGGTCAAAAGAAAGAAAAGTGAGGGCACTCCTACTTGCCTCCTCTAGTCGGTATCATATCCCATAAACATCGGTATGAAACTGACGCCGAGGTATGACAAGATGATTTTACTGATCAATCTTTTCTTAGATGATCTCAAGTCCAGTTAGTTACAGGTGCAAGGCCTTTCAAACCAATACAGCAAAATGTATGCACCCAGATTATTCCAGCAAAGGCAGGTGCTGGGCCAGAACCATCTGGCTAAGTGAAGTAACCTGTTATCTCCCGGTAGATAAATCTAATCAACGGCCCAACACAGCAGCACGTGTGGATGGCAGTGAACTCCTTCCTCACTCAAGGCAACTGACGGGCTCCATTTCTACAGGAGGTGTCGGAGGAAAACAGGTTCCTGACCTCATCCACAAAGTTCTCAAAGTCTGCAAGGGCCCAGCCAGGAAGCCCACTCTCCTCCGCGGCAGGAAAACGTCCACGTCGGCGGTTCCGACCCGGCCCCGGGCTCCCGACCCCGGGTGGCGGCTGCGAGGGCCCCGAGGGCGGCGACCGCGGGCCTCACCGGGCGCCCCCCTCCGGAGCCCGGGTCTAACGGGCGCGCGGGGGGCCCGGCGAGGCCCCGGGGCCCCCGAGCGGTCGCCCTGCCGGGCAGACCCTGGCCGCCGGAACCGGAGCCGCCTTTCCCCTCTCACCCGCCGGCCGCCCCGCGCGCCTCGCACGCAACAGGTGACGGGCCCGCGCCCGGCCCGCCGCGCCCGCGCGCTCAGCTCCGCCCGGGGCAGGCGGGGACCCCAGCCTCCGGCTCCCCCAGCCTCCGGCTCCCCCAGCCTCCGGCTCCCCCAGCCTCCGGCTCCCCGAGTCCTGCCCGGCCGCCCCCCCCCACGCCCCGTCGGCCCGCGCCCCAGGACAGCCGCCTCGAACTTTCCACACGACGGCGCAACTCGGGGGGCCCCCTCCCCGGCCCGCCGCCTTACCCGCGGGGTCGACGGCGTCCACGGCCGCCCCCAGCAGCGCCAGCAGCGCCCCCAGGAGCAGCGCGGCCCGAGCCCCGCGCGCGCCGAGCCCCATTGTTCCGGACAAGACGCGGCCCCGGGAGTCCTCGGCCGCGACGGGTAAGGCCGCTCTGCGCACGCCAGCCGCCCGCGTCCGCTTCCGCCGCGCGACTCCGGGCCCGGGCCCCCAATGACCAAATAGGGCGCCGAGCGCTGTCGAGGGGGCGTGGCGGGAGCGCGGGGCGGGGCCAGGGCGAGGAGGGGCGGGGCGAGGGGGCGGAGTCGAGCCTCTGAGCGGGGGCGAACAGTCGGCCTGGGCTTTGGAGGGTGTGGCTATGCGGGGGGCGGGCCTGAGCTGGATGGACATAACTACAGGGCAGGGTCGAGGGAGTGGGCGTGGTCATCTGGGGCGGGATGGTGGGCGGGGCGACATGCGGCTCAAAGAGCTGCGCCGAAGGGCGGCGTGGCGGGAGTCCCGGTCGCGGCGTTCGGCTGCGGGCTCCTCACGGCCCCGAGCTGTCTCCTTTTTTTTTCCCCGAAGGGCGGTGTACTGTCCCGGAAGAAAGTGAGTGTCGCCCCCTCTGGAGTCTGAGTTCACTTCCCGGGCTGTGGGGCCGCGGAGGAGGTTTTGGAGCGGGGGCCGGGGGCACGAGGCTGAGGGAAAGTCGAGGCAGGCCTCTGAAGGCCGGTACCTGACGGGTGGGGTTCCCTCCGCGCCGTCCTGGGCGGCCTGACACCAGTCTGGGCACAGGGTCGGAAACTTCAGAGGTGAGGCATCCGCCCTCGCCGAGCCCCAGCTGGGGCGGCTTTGGACTGGGGGACGCCCGGCCCAGAGACTTGGCGGGGGCCCGGGAGCCCCTCCAACCCGGGACCCTGTCAGACCCGGGACCCTGTCAGACCGGGACCCTGTCAGACCCGGAGCCCTGTCAGACCCGGGACCCTGTCAGACCGGGACCCTGTCAGACCCGGAACCCTGTCAGACCCGGAACCCTGTCAGACCCGGGACCCTGTCAGACCCGGAGCCCTGTCAGACCCGGAACCCTGTCAGACCCGGAGCCCTGTCAGACCCGGGACCCTGTCAGACCCGGAGCCCTGTCAGACCCGGAGCCCTGTCAGACCCGGAGCCCTGTCAGACCCGGAGCCCTGTCAGACCCGGGACCCTGTCAGACCCGGAGCCCTGTCAGACCCGGAGCCCCTCCGACCCGGGACCCTGTCAGACCCGGAGCCCTGTCAGACCCGGAGCCCTGTCAGACCGGGACCCTGTCAGACCCGGGACCCTGTCAGACCCGGGACCCTGTCAGACCCGGGACCCTGTCAGACCCGGAGCCCTGTCAGACCCGGAACCCCTCCGACCCGGAGCCCTGTCAGACCCGGGACCCTGTCAGACCCGGAGCCCCTCAGACCCGAGCCCCACTCCCACGCTTGAGCCTCTCCCCTGGACGCCTGCAACCTGGTATGGAAGGACCTGTTGGTTGTAAACTGTTTTTGAGTAAATCCTCAGCATTTGGAGCCAGTGCTGCTCCCCAAGTCTGCATTTAGAGCCCTCTCAGGACCCTGAAGTTGACTCGTGGCTGATTCAGGATGGCACAGACTGAGGCCTGGTTGGTGGTGCAAGACTGGAGGATGGGGATGATGTTGTGCCAGTCCTGGGACTTGAACTCAGGGTCTGGGAGCTGTCCCTTAGCTTTTTCTCTCAAGCCTAGCTCTACCACGTGAGCCACAGCTCCACTTCTGTGTATTTGTGTGTTTGCTGGTTAATTGGAAATAAGAACCTCATGGATTTTCTTCCCTGGGTTGGCTTTGAACTGCAATCCTCAGATCCCAGCCTCCTGATGTAGGGCATTTTACAGCTGGTAAATTCCCACGTCACACAACTTTGGCACCTGTCCCAGATTTTATTACATAAAGGTGGTGTAGCAATTACACTCTCAAAACTCTATTATGCAAAATAATACTTTGTGATCTTAGGGAAATCTTAATCAGAATAGATGTGATAGGTCATAAAGATTGACCAGGGTAATCTATTCCACATTTACAAAGGCTTCTCTACCTGAGAATTTAGTCAGACTGCAAAATATTTTTCAGTGTCCATCCCAGGCAAAAAGGAAGCAATAACCATTTAGATTTGTGTTGCTCTTTCTCTTGGAAACATCTGGAGGTTTGAGAATCTGGGGTAGAGTAGAAAGTGTTTCCAGATGGCAAATGGGAAAGTGCCACCTGTAGTCTGTGTGTTTGTCTGCACTCCCACTCCCCAATCTGAATTTTGTGAAGCCTAAAGAGGTGGGGCCTTTGAGAGATCCTGAGGCAGAGCTCTCCCCAGTGGGCATGGTGACCTGGTAAACAGGCCTGAGGGAATTTGCTGGCCCCTTCAGCCATGTTAAGAACACAGAGCCGGGTACTGGTGGCTCATGCCTGGAATCCTAACTACTCAGGAGGCTGAGATCTGAAGATCACAGTTCAAAGCCAGCCTAGACAGGAAAGTCTTGTGAGACACATCTCCAATAAATGACTAGAAAACTGGAAGTGGTGCTGTGGCTCAAGTGGTAGAGTGCTTCCCTTGAGCTGAAGAGCACAGGGACAGCGCCCAGGCCTAGAGTTCAAGCCCCACGACTGCAAAAAAAAAAACAAACCCAAAACCAAAAACACAAACACACACACAGAAAGAAGGGTCAGTCTATGTTCTTGCTAGATTATATATCTTCTGTGATTTATAGATTACACGGTCTGAAGTTGTTATTGCAGCAAGAATAAACCAAGGCAATATGAACCCCAAAATGTCTACCATTTACCCTGTGACTGACCTCCATGGAGACACTAACACCACGGTGTGAGTGGGATGACCTCCTGGGAACCTCATCCCGCCATCTACACTTCCAAACTTGCCAGGACCTTTCATGCCTCTGGCCTTTGTTCTTGTTCTTCTTGTGAAAGAAATGTGAACATTGTCAGAATCAAAACAGTCACTTGCTGCCATGTCCACTGCTGCAAGCTACCTGAAAGGGGAATGGCATAGCAGGAGAAAGTAAAACACAAAGCCAATCTCGGGAATCAAAGTGGGGATACCAGGGGGCACTCGTCTCAGAGGATAAAGGCCCCTAGTTCATCTCCCAAGCAGTTTCTATTGTCCATCATGATGTAGTGATGAGTAAGTAAATTTCCTCTCTGACACAACGTGGACATCATTCTAGTAGAAAAGTAACCCTGAGCCCAGTAAGCTCTTAAGCTAACATCCTTGAGTGAGCTAGCTACTTTCTTGTCTTGGTCTGGGAGAAGGGCTAGGGAGCCAAGCTGAGCATAAACTCTTACGCTAACATTCTTGAGCAAACTAGCTATCTTGGTTTGAGAGAGGGGTCAGGGATAGGGGCCAGGGCCACTGACCTCTGCCTAAGCGACCCCTGACACTTAGGCATCCCTGGCGTGGTGTTGTCTGTAGCCAAGTGTGTCTTCAGCCTTGCTTAGGTGGATCAGTGGCCACCAACAACTTGAGTCAACCCACTACCAGAGTAAGTAAATGAAGCTTGCAGGTTACAAAGGAAGGATTTGTATTAACAGTTACCTGATAGCAGCTCACATAAGACTGCCAGAGCCTGCACACACGCCACACAAGCTTACATACCCTTAACCCAGAGATGCTCCCAAGCTCTGCCTCCAGAGTAGCTGGAATTACAGGTGAGAGCCACTGCATCCGATCTTTCACCTCACCTTCCACTCTCTTTGCTGTTTCCTCAGCTCTATCTCCTTGCCATGCTCTAGATACGCCAAGTCATTTCCATCCCAGAGCCTTTGTACTTGCTGCCTTTAACACCATGCAGGTCTTTGCTCTTTGAAAAAGCCTTTCTCTCTCCCTCCCCACTCCCTCTCCTTTCTCTCCTTGGTGCCAGGTTTTCTCCCTCTCCTACTCTGTCTTTTTTTTTTTTTTGGTGGGTCTTGAGGCTTAAACACTGGGCCTGGGCACTGTCCCTCAGCTCTTCAGCTCAAGGCTAGCTCTGTACCACTTGAGTCACAGCGCCACTTCCAGTTTTTCTTGTGGTTTATTGGAGATAAGAGTCTTATGGACTTTCTTGCCTGGGCTGGCTTTGAATCGTGATCCTCAGATCTCAGTCTCCTGAGTGGCTAGGATTACAAGTGTGAGCCACTGGTGCCCGGCTGCCCATGCTGACTTTGAATTATGATTCACCGCTATCAGATGTAGGGCTTGGTACTTTCTAGCCAGGTACTCCACTGCTTGAACTATGTCCCCAGCCCTTTTATGTTTTTTTTTGGGGGGGGGGTCCGGTCATGGGGCCTGAACTCTGGGCCTGGGCGCTGTCCCTCAGCTTTTCAGCTCAAGGCTAGCACTCTACCACTTGAGCCACAGAGCCACTTCCGGATTTTTTCTTTTTGTTTATGTGGTGCTGAGGAATCGAACCCAGGGCCTCATGCACGCAAGGCAAGCGCTCTACCACTGAGCCACCTTCCCAGCCCCCCCTTTTATGTTGTAGTTATTTTTGGATAGGGTCTTATGCTTTTTGCCTAGGCTATCCTTGGACTGCCTTGGCCTTCTGCATAGTTGGAATCACAGATATATGCTACCATATCTGGCTTGTTTGTTGAAATATGTGGTCTTGCTAATGTTTTGCCCACTCTCCTCCTAATCTTTATCCCTGAGTGAGGGTTACAGATGTAAGCCACTTTTACTTCTACAAGATGAAAAGTATTACTGGCATGAATGGTGGTTTTGGCTTTATACAATGTGAATGAATATGTTTTAACACTACTCAGCTCCCTAAAATAACAATACATTTGATATAGGATAAAGGATAAAAATTGAGTTGGTTTCCACATAGGAATAGCAAGAACTGTTTCTGTTACCATGGTACAAAAGATAGGGATTTCATGTTTTCTCAGAGAAACTTGCTTAAAACCCACAGTAAATGTTTATTCATTGAGAAACAGATGACAGAAGAAAGCTTCTAAGGCTTGCTGTCCATGGTAATTATCATCTAGCTATTAGTAAATCAGACTTTGTGATGAATCAATATTTGCATGAAAAAAGAATCAGAGCCCGTCTGGCTTTGAGACTGAGAGGTTACAAATTATGGAAGCTGTGGAAAGACAGAACAGTGTCCATTGGTCTTGGGCCAACTCCAGTGTCGCCAAGTTCCTGTCAATCCCCGTTTTAGCAGATTGACAGCTCACTGTACCCTGTGATTAAGCCTCTCCAGTGAGAGCCGACTGGGAGCTTTCCTTCCTGCATGCTGCTGCTCCCCTTCCTCCTCCTCCTCCTCTGCCTTCCCCTTCTCACTTTAAGTGCCAACTCTGGCCTGTGTGAAGGTAATTAATGAAAAGAATTGACTGGGTACCTATTTTGCATTCAATGGTATTTGGTATTCTAGATGCAAATGAGTAAAAATAAAAGTAATGAGCAAAAATATAAAATAAGCAAAGAACAACGAACCCCATGCACATATGGATTTTCTTCTTGAAAGTAGTAGGTCAGAGAAGAAAGAGTTCTAGATGGAGAGAGGGTCATTTTTTTCAGCCCTGGGAATTGAACTCATGGCTTGGCACTCTTTAGGTCAGACACTCTATCCATAAGCCATCCTTCCAGTCCCTAACTTGGCCTTGTTATTTTTGGAGGAGATAGGGCTTTTTCATGCGTAGGCTGGCCTGGGATGCGCTCCCCCTGCTTCTCTGTGTAATAGGCATGGGCCATTGTGTTTCCCCTGTAGCTCAGATGACAGTGTGTGTCATAAACCCAGTCATTGGTTGAGATGGAATCTTGTGAGCTATGCTCTCAAATCTTGACCTCCGAATCTTAGCCTCCCAGGTGCTAGGATTACAGGATTGAGCCCGTGTCTAGCTGGATATGGGGCTAGGCCTAGCAGGTGAGACTTGATCCCCAGCACTGAGGATGTGTCGTAGGGGAGCTGTGCTTGCATCCAGAGTTTGATGGATTCCAGATGGTGAGGAGGAGCTCTCTCTGTGTTAGTTCTAGACAGGATTATATTGGCTACAAGGTCTATAAAAAGGCTGAGCTCACAGAGCTGCCCCAAAGGTCTTTCCTTTGTTAGTTCTCAGGTTGCTTCTGAACATCTACATTGCTCTTGTTTTTTCTCTGTAGGATTGCTGGTGAATCTTTGCTGTGTAAAGTCTCTGCCACCTAGCCCATCCTTTACTCTTGTTATTTCTTCTGTTTCATGCATGGAGTTCATTGTAAGCCCTCGGCATTGCTCCTTGCTGCTCTGAACACAAATACTTGTCACAGCAAAGGCTTTGGCTGGGACTGTAACTCAGAGGTAGAGTATTTGCCTTATGTACTTGCCCAAAGCCCTAGGTTTGATCCCATATTATTTCAAAAGATATGTAGCAAAGCTTTCACTCATGATATAAAAACTGACAAAATATACAAAAATCTCATGTAGAGAAGGTTTTAGAGAAGAAAATAAAGTATTACCCATGTCTTATACGGAGGACAAGGGGATAGGCCTACCGTATAAATGGCAGTTTCAGCTGAAGACCACCTAGAAAGTTATGTTGTGCCAAGAAAACACAGCAAT